TCAGTGACTGGGATAATTGGGATGGGAGTGTCAGAGACAGTGCGATTGGCACAGGACAGAGCAGAGTTTAGGGCTGTTGTACAAAGGGTCGCTATGAGTCGCAGGCGACTCGACGGCACATAACAACAACAACAACAATAATATATATTCAGTACCAAAATACACAGAACTCTTCTACAAATCATGTTAAGGTTTAAGAGTACCAGAGGTACTCTGCTCTTTTCTCTATCCTAATATGTGCAGGAATAGCATCTTGAATATACACCATGGACCGTTAAGAAAACAAATAGGTCTGTCTTGGAGAGGATGAAACCAATTTTCTCCTAGGAGGATAGGATTTTAAAGCTCTGTCTCACATTCTTTGTACACTTGGCAGAGGGATCGATCCTTGGAGAAGGACATGATGCTCTGAAGGGTGGAGGGACAGCACAGAAGATCCCAGATGAGATAGATTGATACAGTAACTTGGGCAATGTGTAACTATGTCAGAATCAGTGAAAATGGCTCAGAACAGGGCAGGCTTCAGACATGCTGTGCATAGGGTCGCTATGGGTCACAGGCAACTCAACAGCACATAATAACAATAAGAAAAATGTATGTAATAGACATTACCATTATATCACATTCCCCCACCTTCCTAAATGTTTTTTTCGGACCCAATTGTCAATTGCTGCTTCTTTTCCAGCTTTAGTCATAAACATAAGTTGGTGACCTCTTAGCAGGTAACAGATGAATTGTTTTAAATATACGTATTTTAACTATATCTTAGAATGGTGGACTTGTTAAGATATATTTGAAATACTGTCTCCCTTGGGGGTACGGGGTGCAGGAGAGGAACATTGTCCCTGCACTTCTTCCATGACAGATTTGATTGTTCTTTTAGCAGTCAACACCACAATTCAAAGCATTGGTTCTTCAATGTTTTTCATTTATTGTTCAACTTTCACATGCATATGAAGCAACTCAAAATACTCCTGGCTTGGGTGAGGAGAATCTTAGTATTAAGAGACATCCTTGCTCTTTGCTACTTTATTGCAGTCTCTAATGGCAGACTTGCCCAGTGATGTTGTTTGATTTCTTGAGCTGCTTCCATAGGAGCTGACTGTGGATCCAAGAAAAACTAAATTCTTGACATCTTCAATCTTTTCTCCGTTTGTCATAATGTTTCCTACTGGGCCAGTTATAAGGTGTTCTATTTTTTGCTGTGGTGTAATACACACTTAAGGTTAATGTCTTAAAATATAAAGTACTTACATTATGAATTATATTATGGTAAAAACTGATGAAGTTTCATGATAGTGGATTGCTGTTGTTGTTATATGCCACCAAGTCGCCTGAGACTCTTCACAATCTTATGTATGACAGCTCTGAACTCTGTCCTATCTTGAACCAGTTTCACTGACTTCGACACAGCACAAAGATCTCACCACTAGACCAATTTGCAGCATCATGATAGATGGTGGAGAGACTGATATTGTTAACAGCTTCAGTTTGCTTGGCTCCACAAGCAACACTCTTGGTACCAGCAGCCAGGAAATAAAAAAAATTTAAAAAAACAAAACAAAAACTGCACTGGGAAATCTTCTGTCAAGGACCTCTCCAGAGAACTAAAGAGCAACAATGTCCGTCTGAAGACTAAGGTGTGCCTAATCCAGGCCATGGTCTTCACAATTATTTGCTATGCATTAGAAAGCTGGACATTACTAGCAATGAGAGAAGGAGAATTGATGCTGTTGAGCTGTGGTCCTGGAGAAGAGTACTGAATATACCATGGACTGCTAGAACAAACAGGTTTGTCCTAGAGAGTGAGTAAAACCAGGTTGCTCCTTGGAAACAAAGATTCTGAAGCTATGTCTGACATATTTTGGGCAGTCCTTAAAGAGAAACATTATGCTTGGAAGGGTGGAGGGACAGCACAAGAGAAGAAGATCCTCAATGAGATGGTTTGATTCAATGACTTGGGTAATGGCGGAAGGTGTATCAGAGACAATAAGGTTGGCTCAGGACAGAGCAGGGTTCAGAGCTGTTGTACACAGAGTCACTATGACTCACAAGTGACTCAATGGTACATAACAACAACAATCCCATTGCCCCAGCTATAATGTCAATCAATCTCATCAGGGTCTTCCTCTCTTGTGCTGCTGTTCTTCCACTCTTCCAATCATGATGTCCTTCTCCAAGGACTCGTCCCTCCTGATGATAAGCCCAAAGGATGTCAGATAGAGCTTCAGAATCCTAGGATCAAAGAAGAAATTTGGTTTCACTCTCTCCAAGACAAGTAATTTGTTCTCCTGTCAGTCCATGGTATGTTCAATATTCTTCTCCAACACCACAACTTGAAGGAAACAATTCTTCTGCCCTCCTTAGTCACTGTTCAGTTCTCTGATGCATAGCAAGTCACTGTGAAGACTATGTCCTGGATTAGCCACACCTCAGTCTCTAGACAGACTATCATTGCTCCTCAGCACTCTGGAGAGGTCCCTGATAGCAGATTTCCCCAATGTAATTCATCTTTTGATTTTCTGACTACCAAGAGTATTGACTGTGAAGCCAAGCCAAGCTGAAATTGTTAACAACCTCAATCTCTTCTCCATCCATCATGGTGCTGTCAAGTGGTTCAGTGGTGAGAACCTCTGTCTACTTGATTTTGAGCTCCAAGCCATATTGAAGACTACAGTCCTTGACCTTCTGCAGCAAGCAATTCAGGTCCTACTCAGTTTCAGCAAGTAAGGTTGTATTATTAGATGGTTGTTGATGAGTCTTCCTCCAATCCTGATGCCATCATAGTCCTCCTCATAAAGCTCAACCTCCCAAATGATCTGTTCTGCATACAGATCGAAAAGGTATGGAGATAGGATGCATCCCTGATGATCTCTTTCCTGATTTTGAACCATACAGTGTTTTCTTGCTGTGTTCTGACAACTGCCTCCTGGTCCAAGTATAGATTTCACATGAGCACAATCAAGTGTTGTGGGATTCCTAATCTTCTTAAGGTTAGCCACTATTTGTTGTGATCCACACAGCCTTTGTACAGGAGGGAGCTCTGGTGGCCTAGTGGCAAGAAGCTGTGCTGCAATCCTGAAGGTACGTGGTTTGAATTCACCAGATGCTTTGCTGGAGAAGGGCCAATCTCCTCCTGTGCCAGTCAGATCCGATTTGATGGTATACAACAATTTGGAGGGGGGGAAAAAAGTCTTTGTACAGTCAATAAACCACAGGTAGATATCCTCTGGAACTCTGCTGTCTACCAAGATCTGACATTGGCAATAATGTCTCCAGTGCCAAGGCCTCATCTAAATCCAGCTTGTATTTCAGGTAGTCCAATCGTTTTTGGATAATCTTCAGTAGGAATTGCTTGTGTGTCATACAGTTTGATAATTTCCACACTCTGCCAGATAGTGAATTAATCAGAGTTGCTTAAATAACTTCTGGCCTCCACTTCTTAGATAAGGTTAACTAAACTCTAACTACTTCTTAGTGTTGATTTTACTAAGTAGCAAACTTCTTAAAAACTTTTAATCACAACTTCTAACTTGTTAAAACTTTTACTTTTTAAACTTTTAACATGTTGCAGAAGATCAAAGAATTAGCCTTCAATATGGATTACATCTCAATGTCAATACACAAAGATTCTTACCACTGGATCAACAGATTAAACATTGTTAAATGAAGAAAAGACTGTCAACAATATCATCTTACTTGGATCCACAATGAGTGGATCCTGCAGTGAGGAAATCGGGAAACATACTGCACTGGGGGAAAGTCTGCCATTAGGGACCCCTGCAAATAATGAGGAGTAATGATGTCAGTTTGAGGACTATGATATGTCTGATTCAGGCCATGGTCTTTCTGATCACTTGCTATATATCTGAGAACTAGACAGTGAAAAGGGATGAGAGAAGAAGAATTGACACCTTTCAGCTATGATGTTGGGGAAGAACAATGAACATGGACCACCACAAGAACAAACAAATATGTCCTGGATAGGGTGAAGCTAGAGTACTTTTTAGAGGCAAGGATGAAGATGAAGCCTCGCTTCACGTACTTTTGACATGTTGCTGGGGCATTCATTATTCCTTGAAAACAAACATGATGCTTGGAAAGTTAGGCTCAAAAGAGAGGAAAACCCTTCACCAGGTGGACTGACAAGATGACTGCTAGCAATGGACTTTAATGAGTAAGGAAGTGTGAGGATGGCACAGGATAGGACCGGGTTCAGATCTGTTGTTCACAGGGTCATTGTGGGTCTTATTTCACTTGATGGCACCTAACAATGACAATAACAAAATATTCTTAGAAAATTTTAGTAGGTTGATAAGCTCTGGGGGACACTATTATTTAAGGCCTATTAAACCCTGACAGAATTAATATTGTGAAAGCTTTTCTGATATGTGCAAGTATTTTGATGTGAAACTCTAGAAATGAAAACCACTGACCTATATAGTTTTCAATCCCCAAACACATTCAAAATAGCATACAACTTACTGTATTTCTTGAAATCTGTATAGACTAAGCTTTTTAATAAAAGAAGATTTCCAAGACATTTACTACAGGAATTCTAAGGCATTTACTACAGGATTCAGCACCACATAAAAATATTTTAACTAAATGAATTTTATTTAAAAATTAAAGGACCATTTAATAAGAAAATTAATAGAAACCACCATATCAGTAAAGAGAAAAATGTTTTGATACTGAAAAGTATTTTAGTAAAATTCATTATAAAAATTCTGATTACTTGATAAAAATACCAAGGAAAGTATAAAGAGGGATCTACTGCCTCAAAAAGATATATATGTGTATCTCAATCAAAAAGTCAGCATTAAAATTAACATGACAATGTCAGAAATATATCAATTCAAAGACCAGGCTAAGGTAAGAATGTATACTATTGCCAGAATTAATAAATTCAGTTCTGGAGGTAATCAGCCAATCCAAGTAAGTAAGAACAAATTAGAGCAGGAAATTAAAAAGACGAGGGTATAACTTCAGTAAATGAACGTCATATAACTATTATTTCCAGAAACTCAAGATAAGAAACAGGAGAAAAATTACTGAAGTATGAAAATTCTACTTACAAAGCATTAATAAACAATTTCCAGATATATTTACCAGCTAAGAACCAATCAGAATGATTATTAGACTGACCCATTAGATTGGCAATAATAAAAACTAAAAAGAATTGAAATGAATGTGCAGAAATGGAATTATAACATAGTGGAATATCTTTAGAAAATATTTCAGTAGTCCCTCAAAAGCCATAATAAAATCCAAACTCTATTTGGGACTGTATCTGAGAAAGAGCCTGAGTGCAGGTTAAGGGTCTGGCAGCTAACTAAAAGTCAGCTGTTTAAACCCATCAGCCACTCCACAGGAATAAGATGTGGCATCCTGCATCTGTAAAAATTACAATCTGAAAAACTGTATGGGTCCAAGGGAGTTCTGATGGCCTAGTGCTAAGAAGCTGTGCTACAAAGGCATGCAGTTCAAACTCATCAGCTACTCCACAAGAGAAGAATGAGTAATCTTCTCCCTTGCGATTTACTGCCTCTGAAAATCCACTGGAGAGTTAGCTATGCATCGATTCCAAATCAATGGCACACAACAATAATTCTGTCTAACAAGGGGCTCAAGTATGTCAGAGATGATGGTGGCACAGGATAGGACAAAGTTCAGATCTGTTGTTCACAGGTTTACAGTGACAACACCTAACGACACCTAACAACAACTCCTCTGTCTGACAATAAAGCTTTGTTTCATATACCTTGGGCATGCTATAAGCAGGGGCCAGTCCCCAGAGAAGAAAAATCGTGTGAAAAGGCAGAGGGTCAGTGTAAGACAGGAAAACAACCTCTCAACAATATAGACTGACAAAGTGACTTTAACCATGGGCTCAAGCATAGCAAGGATGAGGAGGTAGATGGTGCAGGACAGGGAAGAGTTAACATGCGTCTTCTTAGGGTCACTAAGAGCCATAGTCAATGGTACATAACAACAAGAACTCTGATAATAAAGTGTCTGTGAGTATAAAGGATGATAACAGGGTTTTTAATATAAGGAACAGATATGAAAATGTAGATCTACACAAAAGCTTTCATGTAAGTGCTCATCGTCACATTTTTCTAGAACAGTGACAAGGTAAACCTAAACCATCTAAACCTTCAACTAATTATGAGTAAATAAACAAAGTGCAGGATACATCCATAAAATGAAATATAATTTGGCTATTAAAAAAAAAAGTACTGGCACACAGTACAATGTTGAATCTTGAAAACGTGCTTATTTAAAGAAGTTAGTTATAAAAGACCACATACTGTACAATTCCATTTATGTGAAATGTTAAGGATAATCTATGAAGATGGGTAGATTAACGAGGGGTTCCCGGGATAGGACTGTAGGAGAAAATAGAGAAGAGTGACAGTGGATACAAGTTGAGTTTGTTTCTTTCCAGGAAAATAGTATTTTAGAATAAAATGGTTCTATATCCAGTATCTGGCAGTTCTAGCCTTCTACTGAGGAGGAGAGGATATTCTTTGATCTATAATCAAGATTAATATGTAACCAAGGATATTAAACTGTGGTTTTGGGTATCAAAGGAATACATGAAATAATCACAGTGGTTTATCTAACACATTTTCAGAGAGGACTTAAAAAAAAAACAAACTGCATTTCTCACCTGGTTATTTTCTTCATCCTCAAATACAAAATCTTGCTGCATAACTTCATTGTCTAAATTAGTGCTCACCACAGGTTCTGAACAGTCTCTGTTATTTTCACTGTCGTTAATAATATCTTCAGCAATATCAACCCTAATAATGAAAGGAGATTATCAAGTCAGTCTAAATGCTGAATAGGTCATGCCTCTAAAATAAACAAGCATGTCAGTAATAATCTGAAACTTGTCAAAGAAAAACCTAGTTTGTCTTACAAATTTAGATTATTAAATTCCCTCCCACCTCTTTGGGATGTTCTAAAGAATCTTGCCTGTTACCTTCTTTGAAATTTCCCAAAAGCAAATGAATGGCTATGAAAATATTTTAGGTGCCAAAATTCATTTCCTCACAAATGTATACTTTTGCAGTTACCTGGTTGACATCTGATTAAAATACAATGTCCAACCCTATTATCATGAAAATTAGGAACATCTGCTGCTAGTTTTTTGAAATTGTGGTTTGTTTAGATTATACATCTTTGCTTACAGAGATGATTCCACCTCCACTGACAGAATGTAAATTATTCTCCAGTGATAAGAACAGTGCCTGAGCACAAGCTTAGCTCACTCAGGTCAAGATGACAAACTTAAGGAATGTTTCTATTATACACTTTGAAACTTGTTCCCAATAGTTCTAACTTTTCTGTATTCAGTTTCCTTCAGCTGAAATACTTCTATATAGTTCTAGTTCTAATAGCAGTTTCAAAGAACACAAACTAGGATCATCACATATCGTTGCATCAGTTGGTAATGCCATCAAAGGAGACTACAGTATGTTCAAGCTATTCCTGCAGTTGTTCAACATAGTATTATAAAAACAAGCATATTCTAATTATGGATTTATTTTTATATTTTTCATTTTCAATCTATACCTAATATGTATTCTCAAGGATTAGAGAGACTTAAGGAGGCCCTAAGTATAACTAATGGTTAAACATCAAATTATGAACCAGTTTTAAAAAATTAAAAATCACTCTATTCAATTCACTTTTAAAAAAATCTTTTCTTGTTGGGTAGCTTTTCCTCATGTGTCTGAAAAATGAAGGCTGTTAAGTGAAAAAATTTAAGACATTACACTATGGTTTCAGAAAAAAATCACAGATATATCCCAAGATGAAGGTACTGCGAAGAAGTGAGGCTTTCCCAGTCTAGAGACTAAGGTACACCTGATCCAGGCCATGATCTTCATAATTATTTGCCATGCATCAGAAAGCTGGACAATGACTAAGGATGACAAAAGAAGAATCAATGCCTTTGAGTTGTGGTGCTGCAGAAGAGTATTGAACATACCATGGACTGACAAGAAAAACAGGTCTGTCTTGGAGAGGGTGAAACTAAGTTTCTCCGTGGAGGTTAGGATTATTTTTTTTTTAATTAGTAATTTTTTTAATTAATTTTAATGAAAGTTTACAGAGACTTAGGGTTTCCATTCATTCATTGTTGCACTTTTCTCCCTGTCCACCCTCTTCTCCCCAATTAGCTGTTCTCTTTGAGAAGTAAAAGAAAAATTCTTTCATTGTTATACAATTTCTCCCCCCAAGTCCACTCCACTGTTCAGTCTTCATTCTGGACTCCTGTCAAGACAATAATACCTAATCATATATCCCTTTTAGCCAGTCTCCCTCTTCTGTTTCAATCCAGTATACATTATTTATCCCTCTTTCTCAGTCTCCCCTCAACCCCGATGTCAGTCCTATTTTACAATAGTGGTCCTATGCGATATTTGTCCTTTTGAGACTGAGATATTCTCCCAGCATAATGTCCTCCAGGGTCACCCATTTTGTATAATATTTCATAAGTTCCTTTTTTTTCACTACAGCATAGTATTCCATTGTGTGACTATACCACAGCTTCTCTATCCATTCGTTTGTTAATGGGGGAGAGGCTAGGATTTTGAAGCTCCATCTCACATACATTGCATATGTGGCCAGGAGAGACCAGTCCTTGGAGAAGGACATCATGCTTAGGATGGGGAGGGAAAGTGCAGGAAAGGAAGATGGATTGATACAGTCAATGGGGCAATGGGGGTTAGTGTGTTAGAATCAGTAAGACTGGCTCAGGACAGGGCAGGCTTCAGAACTCCTATACAGAGAGTCGCAGGTGACTCAATGGCACATAACAACAGGTGAGATGAACAGCAGAGGAACTTCACACATTAAAAAAAAACACCACACATACACAGCATCAAACAACAAAACAAAACAATCACTACCATCAAGTTTCAAGGTTTCTGAGGTATAAATCTTTTAAGGAATAGACAACCTCATCTTTCTCCTTCATAATGGCTAATAGATATGAACTGCTAATTCTGCTCATCATTTCACTCAATGTCCAAAGGTGCTGTTAATCTGCTGTCCATTTTTGTTACTGCACGCTTTTCACAGTGTGACTGACTATATGAATCTAAATCTTAATTCTAAATATTATCTTAATTCCAAGTTGATTATTTTCCATATAACTTAGCCCCTAAAGGTAAATTCACTACTTCATCAGGTTTTCTGAGAAAATGGAGCTGGACTTAAAGAGTTCCAATGTTAGTTAATTAAATATCATATATATATATATATATCTTGTCAATTTTCACACCGACTTTCAGAAACTCCCAATTAAGATCCCATTACTTACTTGAACATACATGGTTTTTTTAAAATAAGCTCATTCATTTTAAAAACCTTAATAATTACTAGTAAAAAATGTTAAAAGTTTCTTACTGGTTATTAGATCCTTTCCCATCACAATTAATACTTTCTGCTTCATTATTGCACTCAAGACTTTGCTGTTGTAAATTCTTAAGATCATGATCTAGGCTGCTCTGCAGATCAAAAAGGTGCTGTTCCACAGCTGCTCTAATTGTTCTTTCTAAAACACTACAAAACAAAACACATTTCATAAGAAGCAGCCACATTAACTGGGTATCTGTATATATAACCATAATTTTTTTTAAAAGTCAGTAATATTATAGTGGTCCAAGAATAAAATGAAATATAAAGGAAATATTTTAAAATATACATACTAAAAGAATACACAATAACAGTTCAAAATAAAAACAAAATTTGAAAAGGTGACCTCAATAAATCAACAACAACATCACTACTGCTGCCAGAGGTACGGAGGATCAATTGTACCAAGAATTCATTCCTCATTACTATTAAGATGATTCCATTAAATAGATTTATCAAGGCTACATTTATGAAGTACAATAATTCACCAATACTAAGTTAAACAAAAAGAACTAAAGAGGCATTGTCCGTATATTTTACATAAAGTCTATTTTTTAAAAAATTTAAGATTTCTCCCATTATTTCAAGGGAGAAAAATTATGTCCATAGGCTCCTTCTTCATTTGTTCCTATAAATAGTAATTTCACCATCTTATAAACAATATTTTCTTCTACAATGAGTTCAAAGAACATACAATTTATTCCTATGGTTTAGGAGTATTTTAAAAATTTTAAAATGTGTTGTCTTTAAATATATTACTTACTCTACAGAAACTGGTAAAATGCTTATGGGAGATTTACGGGCACCTCAAAAAAAAGAATTAGCTATAAAATTTTTTAATATCGAATTGCTATAAAATTGCTGGAAACTGCCACATTTTAGATAAGCAGCACAATTAAAATTAAATATTATTCTGGGGAGCTCTGGTGGCCTAGTGGCAAGAAGCTGCACTGCGATCCCAGAGGTGTGTGGTTCAAATCCACCAGATCGATGCTCTGCTGGAGAAGGGGGGGCAATCTCCTCCTGTATCAGTCAGATCTGAGATCTGATTTGATAGTACATGCACAAAAAATAATAAAATAAAATAAAAAAATTAAATATTATTCAAAGTAAATACCTTTTCCATCTTTACAGTGATATCTCATTTTTATTCTTTAGTTAATATCTGAAACTTTTCACATTCAGATTTAGAAAATATTTCTAATCTCATGTAATTTTAAAATTTAGTACATGCTTTCCTGGTTGTGTGTCTTTCTGGCAATTCAAATCTATAGTGGCTCTAAGGAAAATTATGGGCAATCTCTTCCTGTGTGACTTACAGCCTCTCAAAATCCCACTAGAGGGTCAGCTATGAATCAGTTCTCATACAACAAGTTTGAACGAGTGTTGTTGGGTTTGTTGTGTTGTTTTTTTAGTTTCATTTTCAATTCTCTAGGATTTACTTGTCTGTGACACACCGACCCTCATAACCTTAGTCACTGAATCAATCCATCTTATCAATGGTCTTTCTCACTTTCTCTGTCCCTCCACCCTTCCAAGCGTGATGCCCTCTGTAAGGACTGGTCCCTCCTTGCAACATAACAAAAGTATGTTAGATGAAGCCTCAGAATCCTTGCCTCCAAGAAGCAGTTTGGTTTCACCTTCTCTAGGACAAACCTGTTTGTTCTCCTGGCAGTCCATGGTATATTCAACACTCTTCTCCAGCACCACAGCTCAAAGGCATCAATTGTCTTTCTATCATCCCTAGTTACTGTCCAACTCTCTGACGCATAGCAAGCAACTGCAAAGAACATGGCCGGGGTCAGATACATCTTAGTCTCCAGACTGATGGCACTGTTCTTCAGTACTTTTAGAGAGGTCTCTGACAGCCAATTTTCCCAATGCAACTCGCTGTTACCAAGAGTGTTGATTATGGAGCCAAGAAAACTAAAGTTGTTGAGAATCTCTCAGTCTCTTCATCATCTATCATAATGTTGCCAATCAGCCTAGTGGTGAGAATCGTTGTTTTCTTTTATATATATATTTTATTATTTTTGTGTGCATGTACCGTCAAATCAGATCTGACTGGTACAGGAGGAGACTGCCCCTCCTTCCCCGGCAGAGCATCTGGTGGAATCTTTGTTTTCTTGATGTTGGGCTTCAATCTATATTGAAGGCTGCTGTCCTACTGTTTGATAATTTTCACACTCTGTCTGATCATCTTATTTTGGAATGGGAATAAATATGATCTCTTCCAGTTGGCTGGCCAAGGAGTTGTCCTCCAGATTTCTTGGCACAACCTGGTAAGCACATACAGGGAATATTTGTTTGCTGGAATATATCAACTGGTATTCCATCATGTCCTGGGACCTTGTTTTTTGCTACGTCCTTCAGAGCAGCTTGAACTTCCTCCTTCATCACCATTGCCTCTTGGTCGTATATTGCTTCACAAAATTCTTCTGTGTCACCCAATTCTTTTTGGTATAGTGTATTTGTATACTCCTTCCATCTTCTTTTGATGCGTTCTGAATCATTCAATATTCTGGCCATACTCTGCAATATTCTGAACCTTTAAGTATTGCAACTCAAGGCCTGAATTTGTTCTTTAGTTCCTTCAACTTAACAAAGGCCAAGCACGTTCATCCCTTTTGATTCTCTGACTCCAGCTCTTTGCACATTATAATACTTTGCTGTCTCTTCAAGCTGCCCTTTGAAATCTTCTGTTCAGCTTCTACTACTTTGTTTAACATTAAAATACTAAATGCTAATGACCAAAAGTTCTATCTCCATTAGTTCATTAGAATAGTTACTGTAAGTTCCCAGATGGTATGCATTCTAGGGAAATTTCTCTCCTTTTCTGTAATTCAAGATAAATAATAGTCTAAGAAGGGACATTAGAACTCATCTGACTTGAAAAACTAACACATTTTGCTACATATGTTAAGCTGAGGTCAAGAAAATTCCATTTTGTCTCTAAATCCCCATTTATTGAGCATTTAATAACTTTAACCACCGAATTCTGTAGTAAACACTACTGTCAGTACTTTAAATACAAGAGCAAATAAAACTGTTAATATGTAGTTAAAATTCTACTAAAAGATAAAGACACTAATATAACAAAACATGTTATAAGGTCATGACTACTATGGCCAAAAACAGAACAGGTAAACTGAAAATTAAAGACATATGGAAGGATCATTTAAAATGGCATTTGAACAAGGAAGAAAGAAGTGAGAGCCATGTACTCTGGTCCAAAGAGGAACAGTCAGTGCAATGGCTCTGAGATGAAACCTGCCTGGTGCACTTGAGGCTTTTGGCACAGCAGGAGGAGAACTGTCCAATGGAGAGCACTAAGGAGATAAAGCCGGGGGGGGGGGGGGGGAGTCTGGTGTGGTGGGGAGCCTTGACAGTGGAGACAAAATTTTGTAGGCTATTTTAAGGACTCTGACCATTTACTGTAAGTAAACTAGGGAGACACTGAAGAATTTTAAGTAGTGACATTATTTGAGAGAATGAACATATAGTAGTTATGGATTCAATGTATTTATAGAAAAAAATTAAGAAAATTAAGTGACTGCTTGGGGAGAATCCTGTCATCTAAACTTAACTATTCTAAGAGGGCACCTGAAAGCATCTGTGCCCCTTAATTCACTATATACTTAATTCTTAGGTACAATTAATTATATTCAATTTTTTCACTCATTTAGCTTTTATCTTATATTTAAGAATTATTCATAAATGACAATCATGTCCATTTCTTTTTAATTAAACAGAAGTTTTACAATAAATAAACCCAATCTTTAGTACCTAACTCAAACTGCCATGGAAATTAATGTGGTGAGAACAGAGAATTTTTTAATATATGCACATTTAATTATAAACTGTTGTAGAAATGGGAATGATCTAAAAGCAGTACATTCTATACTTAATTTAAAAATCTCAAAAGTCATATAAATAATCTCAACTAAATAAAGTTATTATCTCAAGTATAAATGGAGATATTTTACCTATCTAAAAAGTATAATGTTTCAGTTAATGAATCATAATAAGCCAGTTGCTATTAATTCTCAGTCAGGTGACTATATGCATCAAAGGGTTTTCAACTCAGCAATTCTACTACTGGGAATATACCCCAAAGAGACCATAACTGACATCCAAGCAGATATATACACACTCCCATGTTTATCGCGGCTTTGCTCACAATAGCAAGGAGATGGAAACAACCTAAGTGCCCACCAACAAAGAATGCATAAAGAAGCTGTGGTATATTCACACAATGGAATACTACACTGCATTGAAAAACAAGGAACTCATGCAATGTTATTCAAAATGGTGACCCTGGAGGACATTATGCTGAGTGAAATATCTCAGTCGCAAAAGGACAAATACTGCATGGTGTCACTGTTGTAAAACAGGACTGGCATTGGGGGGAGACTGAGAACAATGGGTTCCATAATGTATACTGCATTGAAACAGATGAGGGAGAAAACAGTTTAAAAGGGATATGTTATTAGATATTTTTGTCATGATAGGAGTCCAGAGTGATGCCTGCATAGTGGAGTGGACCTTGGGGGAGGGTTTGTAAAACAATGAAAGAATTTTTTTTTTTTTACTTTTCTAAGAGGATGGTGTACTTAGGGGGGAGGGATAGAAGGGGGGAAAAGTACAACAATGAATGAATGGAAATCCAAAGTCTAACTTTTCATTATTAAAATTAATAATAAATTTAAAAAAGGGGGGGGTTCAATGGCTGGAAGATTACCAGGCTTTTCTTCTGAGGCAACTCTGGGAGGATTCAAACTTCCAACCTTTCAGTTAGTGTGTTAATCATTCAGCTTAGTGTGTTCACCATTTACTACCAAGAAAGTAGTCCTATATAATCATCTTTACAGAATCAGCTAGTCAAAACTAAATAAATTTATATATAAAAACCATCACTAAATTACAAGAAACCACTGTGGTGACACTGGTTTCTCCTGTTCAGTTATTGACGAACTTTTTTAGTAATAGCTTATTTTACTTCATTGTCTCTTGCAGATAATGTACTTTTAAAAATTGAAGTTTTTGCTAACTGTATTTCAAGCAACTCTACCATGCCATTTTCCCAATATGTGCTAACTTTTGTGTCTCAATGTTAGAGTTACTTTAGGAGCTATGTGTTAGTATGCATTATTTAATAGGTTGTTTTTAATTAAAATCTTTTCCCACATAAATTATAACTGCTTTTTTGCTGTATGCTGTTTTAGTTTACACAAGGTTCTATAGGAACACCTTACTTTCAGATACTGAGGGAATAATATATTGTCATTTTATAAATTAAAATTATTACTAAGTACTAATTTAATGGATTATAGTCTTTCTCACAATCTAATTCCAGCCTAAAAGCTGGTACTACAATGTCAACTCAGCCACTATGTATCTAGTAATTCTATTTCCACAGGTTCTATAATACAAGCTAATACAAAAACAAATGGAATAAATTTTATGAGGAAATACATAAAAGATACAAAGGCTAAATTAGTAACTGAAAATTCCTTAGCAAGGCTGCTCCTTTAAAATTTTCACTGTCACATACAAATGCCAACCTTCTACACAGTTATAATTTGTATGGCATTACTACTGAAACGATTCTACATCCAGAAAGAAAACTCAAACATTAAAGTTCATTAAACTGAAATGTCACCTTGTTGATGCTGTAACACTATTTGGTTCTAGGATGTTTTCAGTCATTCTTAATTGGACCACCTCTGGCATATCATCTGATTTTTCTGCACCCTCTTCTGGAAGTTCTTCTATATGTTCCAGCTTTTCATCTTCTTCTTCTTCCTCTGAAAGTTCATTAACCTAATACAGACAAAAGAGAACTAAGAATTAAAAGTCAATTAATTTTTAACTGACATATTAAATAATGTTGTTTGTTGTTAGGTGCTGTCGAGTCGTTTGCGACTCATAGCGACCCTATGTACAACAGCCCTAAACCATGCTCTATCCTGTGCCAATCTCATTGCCTCTGACACACTCACCACGATTACCCCAGTCACTGAATCAATCCACCTCATAGAGGGTCTTTCCCTCGTGCGCTGTCCCTCTAACTCGACCCAGCATGATGTCCCTCTCCAAAGACCTGTCTCTCCTTACAACATGTCCAAAGTATGTCAGACGAAGCCCCAGAATCCTTGCCTCCAAGGAGCAGTCTGGTTTAATCCTCTCTACGATGAATCTATTTGTTTTCTTGGCAGTCCATGGAACATTCAATACTCTTCTCCAGCACCACAGCTCAAAGGCGTCAATTCTCCTTCTATCCTCCCTAGTCATTGTCCAACTCTCTGATGCATAACAAGTGATTGCAAAAACCATGGCCTGTATCAGACGCACCTTAGTCTCCAGAGAGACACCATTGCTCTTGAGTACTTTAGAGAAGTCCCTAACCGCAGACTTTCCCATCGCAATACGCTTTTTGATTTCCTGGCTACTGGTGCCAAGACTGTTGACCGTGGAGCCGAGCAAACTGAAGCTGTGAACAATCTCAATCACTTCGCCATCCATCCTGATGCTACCGATTGGTCCAGTGGTGAGAATTTTTGTCTTTTTTGACATTGAGCCTCAGTCCATATTGAAGACTACAGTCCTTGATCCTCTGCAGTAAGTGCATGAGGTCCTCCTCAGTTTCAGTGAGCAAGGTTGTGTCATCTGCATAACGTAGATTGTTGATAGATCGTCCACCAATCCAAACGCCATGCTTATTCTAATTAAAATATGAACTTGGGCTTTGTTCTTTATCATTTCGTAAGACCAATCTCTCCTATTGAGTAATTGTTAACATTTCTGTATCAAATTAAAATTGCAAACCAGACAAATATCTTGAAACAAGAAGTAAGAGGTGCATTAAATCAACACTATGTATTGCAGAGTCAGAATCAACTCACAGCAGATTTTCAGAGGCTGGGGACGCAGACTGCCTATTTTTCTCTCATGGAGCAATTCATATATTCTAATCAAGAGCCTTTGGACTGGCAGCATAGCTCCTTACCATTAGGCCACCAAAGCTCCCTAACACCATAATTAGAATGTAAAGCAGTACTAGGAATGGAAAGATAAACAGACTGCTTTATGAAAGGGCTTGAATATCTAGTTTGCACTAAGAGAGTTTACGTTATCTAACCAATCAAGTTTTAGAGATGTATCAATTATGAAAGACTTTGAATGAAACCATCTAATTTCCAGGTGCATTAAATTAATTTCTTATATAAAAATAGGTAGATAGGCACAAAAATTTTGCTTTATGCTTGTTAACTTTGTTTTAGAAAACACTAGTTATTTTCTAACCAATCCAGAATAAATTTTTCAGGAAGAGAAGTCACTGTTTTGATCATTAGACAAAACTAAAGGTTATAATTACGTTTTCTGGTAGGGTTATAAAATGTCTCCCATTATCAAAGTATATAATAACTCATAAGTAGATAATCATCAACTCTAATAAACAGACATTGAAACATTCAAGAACAAAAACCAGCAAAGTACTTCCAAGTAAGAAATATTTTTAAAGTAATTCCAAACCAAACTACCCAAAATGTATCTAGTTCCTTTTTATTATTTTTGGTGCATCTCTTAAGTATTTCTTCAACAACTGTTTCTTTCTCATTACTTGCTTAAGTCTTCTTATTTTTTCACCTTGAAAAGCTGCTTCTAACTCTAGTGATGTCATGTGGACATCTTCAATATATTAATTTTTATTACCGGCATGGCTTTGTTAAAAAAACTGCATTTCAGTTAGATGTGCCTTTCTCCAAGTTATCATGAATAGAGTGCTTTACCTCTGTTCTCTGTTCTTCTCTGGTCTTGTTGTGGCTTGTTAGACTGTTACCTCTAAGGCTGATAAAACACAGCTAAGTAGTTGGGAATTCACAACATTAGTTTCCCCATTTATTTATTTTTTAAATGAGCTAAAAGTTTAATTATCCTGAAAACCGTGGAGAATCTTTAAAGAAGGTTGTCAGGAACTGACAAATGATTTCTCCATTTTCAACCGTTACAAGTACCCTTCAGTTTTTCTTTTCTTCACATGCATGATGCATCGTCTTAATGGGTTTTATTTTCCTTTTTTCACTAAAATGCTGCATTTTTCTTTCTCTTCCTCTTTCACCAAAATTTCTTTCTTTTGTAAATATCACTCTTCCTTAAACCACTGTTGTTGTTGTTGACTGCTGTCAAGTCTAAAAACTTCAGAGCTTTATATGGTCAGGAATTTAAGTAAAGTACACTTCAAATCTATTGTGATGACTGTTACACCTCAGCCAGGGGCTGCACAGCTACCCTGGGCAACTTTGCTAAGGCCACCTTTGATGCCATCTCAAAGACCTACAGCTATCTGACCCCAGATCTCTGGAAAGAGACGGTGTTCACGAAGTCTCCCTACCAGGAATTCACAGATCATCTTGTAAAGACTCACACCAGAGGCTCCGTGCAGAGGACTCAGGCTCCAGCTGTGGCCACCACCTAGTGGATTTTCTATAACAAATAAAGTGAATTATGTTCTAAAAAAAAAAAAAATCTATTGTGAGGCCAAATATCTTTTTAAATTCAGCAGTTTTTCTTCAGAGACAGTGCCTTATTACTCCTTTCATGAGTATCTTTCATGTCACTTCTTTCTTGAGTATCTTTCTCTAATATAGATGCCATTTCATTCTGGATCAGAGTGAGGAATTGCCTGAATTCTCCTCTGCAGGTTTTAAGACGATCCTATCAATTACTGTACATTTAAAAAGGGGCAATGGGGACAACACAACCAGAAAAGGGAATTGTTGAGGACCAACGTTTAAAGAGGACGTGATCAGGGGTCGCGACGTCCTAGAACTGGTTCCTGTGTTTTTCTAGGGCATGAGGTTGGATTCTTTAGAGCAACAAAACTAGTGAAATTTACACACACAGAGAGAGAACATGACGCCAGATTGATTATTTCAGTAAGATGGCTCAAATGCTTATAGATGCTGGCAAGTTTCAGGTTCATGGGTCAGAAAACAGGGGAGAGAATTCTCCTGATTCATGCAACTACAGAGCTTGATGAATCAAGAACTGCAGAAGCAATTTTCTTCCTTATGCTCTGGTGACCTACTGGCAAGAATCTGCGCTGCGATTCCAAAGGCACATGGTCCAAATCCACCAGCTACTCTGTGGGAGAAGGATGGGTCATTTCCTCTCATGTGATTAACTGTCTCAGCAAACCCACTAGAGGGTCAGCTATGGGTTGGTTCCAACACTACTGTATCCAACAACTACAACAACTGTATTCAGTATCAGTTAGTAAAGTACATCACTGTAAACAATATCAACAAAAAAAAAAAAGAGGACGTGATCAGAGCAAGGAATGTCAGGCTGTAGTTGCCCAGAGCAACTTTGAAAGGTTTGATGCTGAAAGGAGGAGCAACAACAGGCTATTTATAGGCACAGCCACCAAAATACCAGGAATTTCTACTCAGCCTTAACATTTTATAATACTAGAAGTTTAAAATAAGAAGTGAAAGTATGCATTTGTCCATTCTAGTCAAGTACACTGTAAATACCCATAATCAATAATCAATTTGTTTGTCATAAACATATTAGTGGTGGTAATTATTCCTGGTGGACATACAAATATAGTTGCTGATACTATGAGAAAATAAAACTAAAACCAAAATAAAAGTAAATTCATTATACTGCTAAATTCATCACATTCCTAATCAAAAAGTATAAACTGCCTGTTTTCTATGTAATGTAAAAGCAGTTACTAATCAGGCTTCCGAATTAGAGAGACCTGAACTGAAGTCACTAGGCTACTACTACTCCTTCCTGGGTTTTTATTGAGAATTACTAGGAAGTAAACAAAAGAAGATCAACAGGGAGTAAACAAAAACAAAAGCTCTTGGAGGAAGTAAATTTCAAAGAGAAATCTTTCTTAAATAAGGTCAAATCTTCTCTATTGTTGACCTTGCTTATTTCAGGAGGGACGAATTTAGTAAAAACAAACTAAGAATTATGGAAATGGCCAAGGTCTGCCTCAGAGTTTAACCTCTGTGAACCCCAAGGTCGGCCTTGGCGCTACAGAGGGAATTCTAGCTTGTATCTACACCTCTCTCAACTCCTGATGTAACATTTGGTTAAATATTAAATCTGATATTCAGCTTCCCACAAGTTTAAAACTATCTCATCTCCAAAAGTTCCTCTTAATCCCACTTGTCAGCCTGACTTTCTTCTTATTCAACACTCTATTTTGTCTATAAATTATTCTGAATCTGTCTTATATATGCAGCTGTCTCAACTCCATTTATGGAAAACCCTCATTCATATTTATATGGATACTTAAATCCATACTTCATTCTTTGTTGACTGGCCTTCTCAAATGTGATCTATAATTATCACATCCATCTTCATATCAAGTCATTGAATTCTCATCCATTTAAGGATCATAGACAAAGAAGTTACTACTTTGACTCTGGGTCATTTGTTAAATACACCCTATCTATCATCTCTAGAATATCTACTACACCTGGAAAAGGTTCTAGCAGCCTAATATTTACATTACTGGGATGGGGCTACAAAAAGAGAGAGTTTAGATAAAGTACACTTCTTTTAAATATCAAAACTAGGAGGGAAAAAACCAAAGCATTATCATAATTACACTTCTGTGCAGAAATATCTTTAGATATATGGCTGAGAAATTGTTGTTTGATGTTGTTGATTCAACTATTACAGCAACCCTACAAACAACAGATCTGAATCTTTCCTTTTCTTAGCAGAATTTAAATTAGGGCAACTTTAAAATACAACCAAATGCACTTTGGGGGATTTTACTTCTCTTTAAATATTTATAAATTGTCTTATAAATAAAATCAAAGTTATCAAAATGACGTAAAACAGGGGAAAAAAACCTCTAGAAATCTTGCTTTGCTCTTTGCAACCCACTTAAAATTCGTAAATATAATAAAAACAGATTAAAGATTCTGATATTTTAGTAACACAGGTCAAGACAATTAAGCAGATAATTTCTCTCAAGCTCCATAGCACTACTCTATCCCATTTACTAAACATATTTTGCTAAATAAATCAGTATTTTAATTCCCAGAGGCAAAACCACATGAGTCAACATCACTTCTTGGTATTATTTAACTACCATTCTCTTTAATGTAAAGTAGAGGTGGGTGGGTGGGTG